AACCCCCCACCCACCCTCACCCGCCCCCGCCCCCAGGGCCCTGCAACCAGCCTGGGGAATGTGTCATATCCACACCCTGCCAGGCCCTGGGGGTGAAGGTGGCCCCTCCCCATTGTGGGTCCCCATTTGATCCCGGAAGAACTGAGAATTGCCCTACACATCCACATTAGGCCTGGTCATCTGCTCCACGTTGCATTGTCACCCTGGTTTTGTTGTCCCCTCTCTCTCCCTCGCTTGCTCCCTGCAGACCTTTTCATCCCATCTCAGTACACCCTCTCACTGTCCTGTCTTTCCCTTCCCTCCAAACACTGGCGCCAACATCCCAGCCCATTGCCTCCAAGACAGCTATGCACCAAGAGGCCTTAAATTAAAATAACAGTGACAGTCACAAATATAAACTGTTTCTGCCACTAGGATCGCATATCCTTGACAGAATTCTAACTTTTCAAAGTAAACCATAAGGCTCCTTTTAAACTCACTTTTTGCAGAGGTGACTTTCTACATGGTCTGGGAAAAATACATATTTACTGAATTGGAGTAGTGAGCAAAGATTACAGGCTGGGAGAGCTCAGAGTTTTGGTCACTTCTCTTCACACTCCGCAGACCAAACCTTTCTCCGTATGGAGACAGGCCTTCTCCATATGGAGGAATCCTCTCTGTGAGGCCGCTGTGTCTACTTTCCTCACTGCCCGATCGGAGCTCCCAGAGTTGAGAACTCTAGTCCTGATGCTGGAGGCAGTCCCAGAAATATTCCATTCTGAACAAGGACCAGACCAGAGCCCACGGCCTCTCTGTTCCACACAAGACTCTTGAAGCTTGAATATCCTTTAACTCTGTCAAGCTTAAGCTGTTTAGACACATTGGACTTGGTTCCTTCACAGCTTCCAGAAAAAAACAGAGCTCTGTTACAGAGCCATCACTTAAGATTTATGAAGTTAAGGTAACTTTGACAGGAGTGAGCATGAGAGTGGAGGAGAGAGCACTATCTGGTGAAATACAAATGCCTCCATCTGTCCTTTGGCTTTGAATTAACAAAAAGACTCCCCATTTGTCCTGTTACAGCTTCTGTTAAATGCACATATATTTCTGTTCTTCCATTCTTTGTTTTGCAAATGCTCACAAATCCAAAAGTAACTATATACTTGCATTAAAAGAAATCTAAATTTATATAAGTATTGTAATAAACAGGAAAAAAAATTGTTCTATCATGTACATAATCTTTTATAACTTGGGTTTTCTTCGCAAGGTCCTTTAGTTTTATCTGACTCCAACTTTTCTTGTTTACTCAGTAGCAAAGACAAAAATCATTATCAATCGATCACCATAGACTGGACTTTCCATCCTAAATAAGCCTGAGCATAAATTCTACAACTCTGTTTTACACTCACCTGTCTTCACTTAGCTCTTGTCCTTAGAAGCAGGCAGCCTGCTGATGCTTTATATACAGTCCCTGGCCTGCTTCTTCTTTTTAAAAGTGTTGACTTCATCCTATTATGAAAAGATTTATGGCTAATTATAGCAATGATCATAATAATTAAAAATACTTTGAACTTATAGAAGGCCTTTTATTCAAGGATGTCCCGGCATTTTACAAACATTAACCAATTAGTTTCTCACCACACCTCAGAGGAGGGCAGATCCTAATTGTAGGTTCGCTTTGACACTTTCAGGTCTAGTGCATTTTATTTGGACAAGTTTCTGCAAGTGGGATTCGGTAAGAAAAAAGCGAAGGAAGGAAGGAAGGAAGGAAGGAAGGAAGGAAGGAAGGAAGACGGCTATTCTAGAAAGAGAGAGGAAGGGAGGGTGGGTGGGAGGGAGGGAAGGAGGAAGGAAGGAAGGGAGAGAGAATTTGGAGAATCTGAAACTTGTTCTTGGTCTGTATTTCAGGTGAGTAGAGCCACACCTTAGACAGGCTGGATGCTGCTCTTTTATGTAATCCAGCACTCCATCTTGTTTCTAAATGTCGGCCTCAATAAATACTTCAGGAGGGTTTAATGACATTTCCAGGAAGGACTCTGCCCCAGATCGCCCAGGGATGTCTCATAGCTACAGGAGGGCGCCCCTCTACCACCACACCCTGTGCTCAGTTCTACTCAATGACGGGTTTTCCCCAGACGCAACCCCTCGCTTGCTCTGTGCCTTCCACAGGCCCCCACCTCGGGCTGAAATGCTTTTGGGGACAGGGACAGTGTCTCATTGGTCTTTATAACCCTAGCACCTAACACCTGCCTGACACATATAATATACTCAATAAAACCCGTGAAATACATGACTAACTTGTTTGTAATGTATCCC